ACTACAAACCAACTGGAGTCTCTCTTTTTAGAGGCTATTGCTTTCGATGTGGAGAACAAGGTCATCGCGGAAGAGCTTGCAGCAACACGACGAGCAATCAGGAAATGATGGCTACAGCACATGCTGAGATAGATCAAGCGAGGAACGAAAAGCCTAAACATCGAATGTTAGCAGTAACTTTTGGTGATTCTGCATATGATGAGGATATGTGGATGATATACACCCACTACTTCGATATCATGGCAGAAGGGAAAGGAGATGTGATGATCCTGATGAATGGAGTGAAGAAGACAATCAAGAATGTGCTTTTCGTTCCCGGGATGGACAGAAACGTGTTGAGTGTTGGTCAGATGACAAAAGGAGGCTACACAGTAGAAATAGGAGGTGGTGAATGCACTATTAGGGATGAGAATGGGAAAGTATTTGCTAAAACCATGTGGGAAGAGAGAGGCCTTGCTCTGCGTTTGCAGGTGATTGAAAGGCATTCTGCAAGAGATTGCAGCAACACAAGCAATCAGCAAATGATGGCTACACATGCTGAGATAGATGAATGTGGAGAAGAAGAGCATTGTGCAAGAGATTGCAGCAACACAAGGAACCAGCAGCAGATGGTGGCTACACATGCTAAGATAGATCAAACGAGGAACGAAAAACCTAAACATCAATTGTTAACTGCAACTTTTGGTGATTTCACTTACGATGAGGATATGTGGATGTTATACACCGCTTCTACGGACCACATGACTCCATATGTGAATTTTTTCACCACTTTAGACAGAAAATACAGAGCTGAGGTTGAAATGGGGAACGGAAGCGTTACGATGGCAGAAGGGAAAGGAGATGTCATGATCATGATGAACGGAGTGAAGGTGACGATGACGGATGTGCTTTTCGTTCCTCGGATCAATAGAAACGTGTTGAGTTTTGGTAAGATGGCAAAGAAAGGCTATTCAATGGAATCAAGTGGAGGCGAATGCACTATTAGGTCTAAGACTGGAAAAATATTCGCTACAACCAGGCGGGATGAAAGAGGCATTGCTCTGCGTTTGCAAGTGATAAGGTAAGGTGGTAATGTCACCTCTTAGTTGGTTGCTTTTCAATTTCGAATAAATTTGGTACTCTTTAGGTGGACGCATCAAGTCTTTTTATGTGTTCTCTTTTTTTATGTGTTCTCAGTTTGGCTTTGTTTAGTTTTTAGTTTGTTTCTCTAAGAAAAACTTAATTCATATTATGCTACTGCAGTATGAATCAGAGTCTTGATCTTTTAAACTAGAATGGTTTGGTGTTTAATCTAGTTTCCGGAAACTATTTTGTATTCACTAATCACTATGCATTACTTTTGTTAATGGTGAAAAAGGAGACGAATTCTAGTAGAAAGATGAAAATGGTTTTTAGTAAACTGATCAAATATATTATTACAGACCAAACTTAAAATAGAGAAAATTTACCGAAATTGAAAGAGAGAGATAGAGAGACATGAAAGGTGGATTGTTAAATCAGTAGCGGCAGATCTTAGCCGTAGGCATTGTGACACAAACTTGAGCGTATTTCTTCTTAGCCGCTTCTGTCCCTCGCTTGGGCTCTTCTTCGTCCGCCATGGCTACCTTAGCCAAGGAACAAACCGCCGCAGCTGCAGCCGTGAACATGAGGTCCCTCCTCATTGTGGTGTTGCTCTGTTCCTCCTTAGCCTTGACTTCTAAGCTGCTTGTTGTGTTCTCACTAGTCGAGGCTCTGACCACCGAGAGTCTTCGTCCGCCGGTGGCTGTTGGAAGCTTAGCGACGGCCGGGAGGAATGTGGCTGTCATGGTCATGGATGCCATTGCTTTTGATAAATTGTTTGATTTCTTCAACGAATGAT